AATAAAACGGCCTGTCAACAGAATGAGAAAAGATGGCTGTGCAGATCCAAACTTTGCCTGATCTTAAGAGAAGGGCCTTATTTCCAACGTACACAAAAACAAATCTGCCTTTTGAAACCCTCTACTACATGAATGTCATGTTCCTCTTATTCGTACTTTAGAGAAGATTTAGAGATGTGGCATCTTGTTTTTCCCAAGCATAAAAAAGCCTTAAACTTTCTCAGTTCACTGCAGAGAAGAGGAATATATATACTGTAGTTATACACAGTTTTATTTGTAGCAAATTATGGCTTTATAATCCTGCATCTTAAAATTTCTCTGTGGAAAATAGGAAGGAAAGACACAGACTAGTAATTAATTCTGATTATATTTTGTGCTTTTGAGAAGGTGTGCACTGCAAAATTACCTTGAACCCATACTATGCATAGTGTCACCTGCTCTATAAACATCAACCATCTGATCTGTATAGAGTTTGACAGTTTAAAGCCATTCAAACTTTTAAACTTTTTTCCCCCTGTATTAATGCTTGAAAGTTTAAGTGCACCGCATTGAGACCTGCATCTTCAGTTTGGCAGTCCTAGTGTAAATTACCTTAATTTAATTTGGTCTATTAAATTGTATTGCCTCGTTGCACACCAGCACTACACCAATACTTACACTGCCTTAATTACTCTTGACCTGTATTATATTGAATTTCAAACTGGCACGGCAGAAAGGCTGGGGATGGTGCACACCATTAAGAAATGACAAGAAGAACTGATTGATTGATAGAAAATTGCAAAGTCACACAATCATCCCCTGGTTGGTTCAGAACATAAAAGGATCAGGCCACTGCCATTAGCATGTTTTGTAAACACCCCATTTGATTTGAAAGCACCATTTCATCAGCGTCCTTTTCATTTTGTGTGAGGAGGCTGCTTTCACTACGTTCTGCTGCCACAGAGGGAAAGGCTGTACTTCCATTAGTGGCGCTTTGAGATTTCAGAACCGCCAGCCAAAAACTAGCAGTCGCTGAAAGAGTTTTTAAGCATGCCCGATATGATACAGCGCAAGGTTACGAAAACAACTGGATACATATATTTTCAAGTCTATGTTATTTTTTAACCAAGAAATACCTTTGGACACAAATCCATGAAAATGTTTAATATTTTTCTGCATTTTGTATCCCGTAACTCAAGAATCCCTTACTACTTTCATTTTGAATGCCATTATAATCTAAGCACAAACCAGAAACAAAGCAGGCAGTTGAAATGAGTGTTAGCACTTTAAAGATTACCTACACCTTATAGGCTTGGATTTCTCTGCACGTTTCAAAAAGTACTTGTCTTCTGCCACAGAAAATGTGAAATCTCCCTGTAACAGCCAATATCACAGAGCAAAAGCCAGTGAAAAAAAGAAAACACAAGTAAACACTGCCATCTATATGTTGCAATACATCAGTGCAGCTCAAATACCATGAAATGTACTGTGCTAGCATTTTGTATAATACCTTTCACAAAAAACGCAAAGCATTTTATTAAAAAAAAAACTAAGTGTATAAAAGTACATTTTAAGACAGCATTTGAAAGAGCTGACTGAATTGCAAGTCTCTGACGTATGTTTTATGCTGGAACAACAGAAAAGGAAAGCATCACTGTGTTGACAGCCTCAGTTCGGAACTGGAAAAGTCTCGAGTCCACACAGCACAAATAACATGCATGTGTATAGAAATTAACAGCTCAACAATGAAATCAGGAGACAAACTGTTCAGGGCTTCACATGTCAGCAGCACTGTTTTGAAGTTTATTCTGAAACTCACAGGAAGCCACGGGGTAAGAACTTAATATAAATCAAACATAGAAGACGAAAGGCATACATTAGCATTCCTGCAGGAAAGCAAAAACATACACCCTCTCAACATGTAAACACCAGCTTCAAAAGCATAGTTCGATCAAAGAGGACGCCAAGATTCCCCGGCACTTCAACTGACTCCAGGACAATAATTAGTCAACCTAAAGTTGAGACACTGCGTTACTGATTTGGGGAGCCAGTCTGCACAATTTTGGTTTAGTGAGAGCTCAGAGATTATATGAGAGAAGTTCTGCTGCATCCATTTTTTAACATCAGTGTGCAGTGTAAGCAGTGCGGCACAATAGTTGCTTGACTAACGTCAGATTTCATAGTAACTACTTTGTTGTCATTTGAATATATACAAATAATCAGAACCAAAGGCAACTTAGTTAATAAAAGGAATAACCAAAAACATCCTCACAGGATGCCACATATGACCAACTTTGTAGTTTTATGTCAGTTGGATAAGATTTAAAACACAATGAAGCAGTTCCAAACAACCCTCTTGATCCTATTTAGCAAGACCATAGATAGGCAATCCTGGTAGTGGAGGCCTTGGTGTTAGCAGGTTTTAGCTCCTTAAAAAGCTGAATGAGCTCAATAGTGGCTTAATGGGACTAATACTGCAGCCTCTCCCAAACTCTTTAGGCACTGGTACTTCAAAGAGATCTAAAAAACCTGCTGAGACTTGCTCTTCTGAACCAGCCCTCCAGGACCAGCACTGGACAGCCCTGAACAAGACAGTATGATAGACAGCATCAAAAGCAGCACTGAGGTCCATCTGAACAGACATAAAAACTAACTCAGCAGTCATTAGCAGATCATTAGTAATCCTAACAAGAGCTGTTTCTGTTCTATTCATCGATCTGAACCCAGACTGAAGAGGCTCATACAGATTATCTGCAGCTAAGTGAGTTTGTAACAATAACAACTTCCTATTCTAGAGCCTTTGCCAAAAAAGGTACGTTAGTTACTGGCTGAAAATGACTGAGCAGGCTGGAATCTGTGTACCGATTTTTTAACAGAGATAACTACAAGCTTAAGGGCCGAAGGACCAATTCCAGCTCTTAATGATTAAGGGGTGATGAGTGTAACAAGACAGAAAACTGAAAAAAGTGAGCACAAGAAGGCAGTGGGACTAGAATCATGTACTTTAGTGACCACTTCACATAAACGATGAGGAGATTCTTCAAGAAAAGCAAGGTGAGGTGCACCAAGCATGAGAATACATACTCACAAGTGCAATCACAAGATACTATCCAACTCAGGGTGTTAGTTAATTTTAGAAGAAAAGCGAATTAGACAATACTCTTCTGGAGTACTGTTCTCAAGAGATGTTGAATCCATTCTTCAATTTGCTCCCCACAGAATGATGACCTTGTATATTAAATATGACTGTCGATGTTGCTTGAAGATAAATGAAAAATGAGACCAGCATCCCTCCATCTACGTATCTATTGATGTCAATAGATTTCATGACATGCAAATGAAACTTTTATAGTTTAGCTCTGACATAAAGATAAAACCCATGGTTAAACTTTAAAGAAAACATATCCTCAAACCTAGCTGGCTGAGCTTGCTACAAACAATGGCAGACCCACCCATCTACAAACAAAGGCACATGTATTCTACCAAAATACTGGTATTTTTAAGATAGATACTGGTTTGGATGGACTAAATTGATGAAATGTGGAAATAATACAAATAAACTTTGTTGTATATCCATGAACTGCTTTTGTTATTGCTTCATATTTAGGTAACATGTCCAGTTTTAAAACTGTGTTTTCAGAATGTAATCATTCATTTTCAGGGTGGAGAGCATTTTCTTTCAGCTTTGACCCCTCATTCTCTAAAGGTCCTCTACACTTCTCTTCACCTGAGGAAAGAGGAGATCTTCAATTGGATTGGAGCAATTCTGATATCAACAGATCTGAATTCTTGAGTTTATGAATAGTTACCAGAACATCCAGATCAAAATAAAATGGCTCCCATGTCCCCAGTTCAAAGACATGCATCTCCCTACCAAGAAGGCCCCAGGTGATAATGTACAGTGTGTGTGCTCTGTCGTGTTTGTGCAGTAAACGCATGTAGAGTAAAGGCAAAATAATTCAGGAGAGCACAGGGTAGCACTGAGATATAGCGCAGAGGACTCAACATCACTAAATCCTTTAAATCATATCCGTATAGAACCTGTGACCTGTATAGAAGCACCATTACCAGAGAAAGGTTAGACAAGAGCTATATAGCCATTCATTCAAATGATTTAAAACCTGATACAGGAAAGACAAGCTGCTGTATGACTATCAACCCATCCCCTCTACCAGAAGTATGCAATTGTTTTAAACAGTACCCAAGAGAAACAAACTGATCTAGCAACAGGTGCCATTTTGATGTCCAGTCTCAGTTAAATCAAAAGACCTTTCTAGATATTAAATTCGTTTAATACCAACATATTTTCAGTCAGGCAGCAAGTATTAAATAATGCTTCTTTAGCAGTGTTTCCAGTGTCTGGATTACTTCATGATGTAGCGTAAAAAAGACCGAGTAAGCAGTTTAAATCAATACCAGGGTGTCTAGGTAAACCCGAACACCTATCAGAAAGAAAGTGATTTTATCATTTAATTTTGTTTTGCAATTAAAGCTATAGCAAAAGCGCCTTTGCAGATGTCTATGCCTAAACAGTAAGTCTCACTTACAAATAGCTTCTAGTTATTTTAATTTAGAATGAGACAGTTCAGCAGAGACATTGCTGGAGACGTATACAGTACAAATCACAATTTAAAAGGTAGACCTGCCGTCAGAAAGTACACCATCACTGGCCCATCCAGTAGCACTGCATGCGAGAATAGCAAAAACCATAGCTATAACATTAACAAGCCCCTTAGCCCTGCAAGCCAAAGAAGCAACATCAGGCCCAGTTTTATACTTGATAATATAGGATGAGGTCAATTCCAGTTTTTCTATTCCAATTACCTCTTTAAATCCAGTTCCAAGTTGGAATTCTTTATTTTACATTCACTGAATTGAAATCAGAAATGGGCTTGAGGAAAGAATTGGAACTGAAAGACTGAAATCAGTTCGGTTCGTTTGTCATATACACAAGTGCAATGAAATGCTTATAAGATTAAATGCTTATCAGACCCCAACCCTTACACGGTGTAAAAGGATATTCTCTCTTTCCTGAATGATGAGTTGGTTCTGCCCCTCCAGCTGCTGGATCTTCTTCTCAAAGGTCTGCTGCTCCACTCTCAGTCTCTCCACGGTCTCATCCTTCTCCTCGCTCACCCTGCAGAACAGCCAGGCAGAGCACAGGGCTGTACACAAGCATTCACTGAACTAAAATACACACACAGGACACAATTTACGAAGCTTTTAATCCTTGATTTATTATGCATTGACACTTACGTGTATTTGGAACTGAGCACCCTATAAGAACAGGGCAATAGATACCAACATGAAACTGTCCCCACATGTGCCAGCAGCCATATCAGCCTGCAACTCACAGCTGGCAACCCACTGAAGCTCAGCAGGTGTCAGTACCTGGACGGGAGACCTCCACGAAGACACTTAGGGTGCTGCTGGAAGAGGTGTTAGTGGGGCCAGCAGGGGGCGCTCTGTCTGTGGTCTGCATGGGTCCTAATGCCCCAGTATAGTGATGGGGATGAGACGGATGAGACGTTAAATCAAGGTCCCGACTATGTGGTTGTTAAAAATCCCGGGGCATTTCTCGAAAAGAGTAGGGGTGTTACCCCAGCATCCTGGCCCTTACCTATCATGGCCTCCTAATAATCCCCATCTATGAGTTAGTTTCATCACTCTCTTCTCCTCCCCACTGAGAGCTGGTGTGTGGGGAGCATACTAGTGCACTATTTTTTGATTGCTTTGAGTGGAGTGTCGAGAAGAGCACAGTATAAGTGTAAAGAATTATTATGATGTGCTGACCTCAGTTCCTTTCTGTTAATACTGTGGTTGACAGTAAAGTACCTGGCCAGCTCCTGGATGAGGTTGGCAATGCGCCGTTTGTCCTCAGGGCAAAGGTCTTTGAGGGAGGCGCTCCTGCCCTCCGCTGCATCACACGCCCCCTGCAGGAGAGGAATGACATCACAGTGGAAAATCAGCCTTAAAAAACTGTCAAGAGAACTGAGATTCAATGCGTCATACTGTATACCCTTAATATCTTTTGAGTGGGGGAGATGTACCGTGGGCTCTTTTTTTCTTCTCAAACACCACACCATTAATAAAAAGATGCATATATCAATTAAAGCCGCATTCTAATCATCACTCTTAATCTCATCAAAAATACATCTGACCAGGAGACTGAATCGGTGCTTAATCCTCCATGTAGGGTGCAAACGAGGGCACATGAGTGAATACCTGTTGTCCAGCCAGGCTTGGAGTCAACCCCCATAAAGTCTGCATCTGGACCGTGCCAGCGGCCAGGGGACGATCCAGTGGCTTCTGGGATTGAGGGGTATCCTGAGATTGCCTGGAAGCCGCTTGCCGCTTCCCCAGCCTCTCCTCACTGCTACCCGCTTTCGGCTTCACCCCCATTCGCATGTTCGCTTGGCTCGTCAGGCCTGCGGGGACGAGGAGCACAGACGCACATCTTGACCCGCCGGAGAGCGATCTCGCCGCAGGGTAGCTGAGCTGTACTAGCTGTGGTTGAGAACTACTGGTCAGATTCTCTTAGGATATTCTAAACGGATTTGAGGTAGGAGCTGTGGCAGCATGCACGTGATGATGTCAAATCCCTGAATCCCTAGGAGGCAACAAAAGCCAGAGTGCGAGTTTCCCCTCAGGAATTCCCTGTTTGTCACCTTGCCTATATTTTCAACAGGGTGTTTTCAAAACTCTACGATTTGAAGGATAAGGGTAACCTGGTGCAGCTAAGAGCGAGAGACGGCAGAATATCAGCTGTTCACACGAACGTCGACTTCTATACCCTGTGTTCTCACAAAGACATACGGGGAATTCTTTTCAAAAACTCAAGGACTTCAGAAAAAACGGTTCTCCAAGTACATACTGGAACAACAACAAACAGAAGACAGGCACTCTGGAGCAGTTCCATAGGATCTGGGGTCCCTGTGCTGAATGCTGTGAAAGAGACTAAGCTTTGTACACATTACTACTTATTTTACACTTCCAGTTATTTCATGGTTATGTATATCACAGCTTTTGTCTCTTTTCTTAGCTCAAGAAAACCGTGAAGAGGCACGAGCAAGTTGAAGCTCGCCGTCTGACTGTCGGTTTTAGTTTCAAAATGTCTTGACAAGACTTAAAAGAAGACTGCAGATGGCTCTGTTCCGCAAGACACTGTATCACCGCGTCATTAAGGATGTCCCTATCAAACCCAGGGCTCAGTCATGAACTCCAGGAGCCTGACTCCTGGACTGTGAGAGGAGTTGAATTCCAGAGCTTTGGGGTGTAGCAAGAGAAGGCCCCGAATGGAAAATCTCGGATTTGCATTGAACTCTCTCACCTGCCACCTTTCCACATGCTCTGTCTTGAGTTCTCCTTACCCACACCTGTGCTCTACAATCCTGCTCTTCTTTTTCTCCTTCATTCCTGAAGGAAGCTCCAGTCAACCTATTTTTACTTTCTATTCACCAACATAGGATTAATCACTTCTTGATATTTTAATAGCTCATCATGTAGTTATTGTGCAGATTATAATTCTGGAATTTTCTGCATTCCTAAAATAAAGTCAATCACAATTGGCACCTACAGAAATAAGGCAATGAATGTTTTTTACAAACCGCCCACTTTCACAGACAATCTGAAATGCCACAGAATTAATTAGTAGTCTTGGGATATTAATTACAGTTCCAATAATGTGCGGATTGCCGTATGACACAAGATCATTTCCTGGACGTGCTGGATACCAATTATTCTTCAGTCTTAAATTCAATGATTTACAAAAAGAAAAGTTTCAGAGTAAAATAATAAAGAGTAACACTACCCTCTAGTGGCTAAAGGCAAAGAGATCGATTCCTAATGCCCAAGGCCAAAGACATCTCAATTTAAATCAGATACGAGATACAGAAATACAATCATCCAATCTAATGTTTCAGAAGGAAATCCAAAACAGCTGTATTGTTAAAAAAAATTGCTTCACAGAGAAATGTAAACGTTCATTTACAGCTACCTGGGACAAACACAATGGGCTGATCTTCGTCAGATGCTGTGGGTTATGGGATTAAAGATTTTTTTTTAGAAAACGAAAAAAGCATTTAGATATCATAACACACAGGACAAGGCGCTAAAACACCGACACCGACCCTTGTCGTAAATGGGATGTTTTGAAACCCCACTCGTTTTTAATTCACAGATGTGGAAATTATACTGAAACAATCAACGCACTAAACATCCAGAGCAATAACCAAACGTCTGGAACAAGTGTTCACATATCATCATAAATTACGTATTATGAATGAGGCACGGATGTCGTCCCAATTAAAGATCAATGTACACCTCGATTTGGTTTTGCTCGTGTTGAGGTTCATAAACGCGATAAAATAAGACGACGTTACTAAAATATACACAGGCCAACGATTAAATATTCTTATATTATTCCACAAGGATTCGATAGCTACTTACTCCTTCCTGTAAAATACAACCCTTAACTTAAAACGATTGTTTAGAAATATATTTTTGTTCTTCGCTTTACCATTAACTGCATCAATGTGACAATTAACGGGGTACGTTGGCACATTTTGACCCAAGTCCTAGACTGCCCCTCCTGACAAAGGCGACAATTGTAATCAGTTTTAACTGAAAAAGAAACTCTTAGTGAAAATTGTATATAACTTAATACAGTTACTGTACATACTGAGACAATCCAAAGTTACAAGTAATATTGCACTTAGTAACAGCTATTGTCATAAACCAGAACAAAACTCCGCTAGATACAAATAGACTTGGCACACCCTTGAAGCATAACAGCTAAAAATAAACGGTACTTTAGTTTTTGTTTCATAAGGATACTGTCTTTAGTCCAATAAATTCCAGGTACAGATGACTCCCCACCAGCAACATCCGCCATATTGAAACAACCGCCACTCCCAGCGAGCCAAGCGCAGCTGAGCTCTTGTTGGTCCCGCCTCCTTCGCGGATGTTTATTGGCTGTTCCCTAAATCCGTGGAATTTCAGCCAATAGAAAGAGTGTCAATCTTCAGCGTTGAGTCACTTGCATTCTGGGATTTGTCGTGTTTAGCTTACGCGGCTCCCGTTCGCTCCGCTAAGAATAGCTCGTTGGTTTTCCCCTTGATATACTGCGAGGGCCATGGTTTAGCCGGAATAGGACTACATTTCCCAGAAATCACCAAGGCTGTTGTATATCCTGGAAACGGGAAAACCGGAATAGATATCGCATGGACCAGTGAATGGATCCCAGTTAATAAATACTGGAGCTGATAGGCATTTGTGGTTTAAGTATGGATGAAGTGATGAGCGGGAGTGAGGTGAAGGAATTTGTAGAAAGGCTGACCCTGGGCATTACCCGTGTGTTGGGTGAGCTGTGAACATGGCCCGTTGCTGTGGTAACCGTGTGGTTGAGCGCAAGAGATGTTGTTGCTCAAGCGTTTCTTCGTCAAGTCCCACGTTTTGTATTGCTAATTTAAATTGGAATAGAATGTGTAAATAGCATATACTCAGATCCATTCGAATACTTAGAAGATGCGTTAGACCGTTATGTCAGCTTTTGCTCCTGTATCAAAGTTGTAGTTGCAATAAAACAAACTTATTACAGTTCGTTTAAATACGGGGCGATTACAATGTTGCATGCACTTTTCGCTCACCCTATGACTCTTACTAATCCATGTGATTATCATTCAAAGATATAAAAGACATCTCCTCCGTCGCTGTTTTAAAGATGCAGAACATCTCCACCGTCTTGTGTTTTGCATGTCTATACGTTATTGCAGAAAGTTTCCCTGGAGTGACAGACGTGAGGTTCGTAGAGAGGGGACCAGCGGAGCGCCACACACTGCAGACCTGGGAGCAGGTGGGTGTAAGGAAGTTGGCCTCAAGGCCGTCCTGCAAAGGGTCAGAGTGGGACTCCAAACGGCAGGAGCAATGATGACGTCTTCGAGCCAGTTTGTGCGTGTCTCGGGTGTTGCTCAGTCTGGACTGGGCTGTGTGTCTGCGCTGTTGCTCAGTCCGGACTGTGCTGTGTGTCTGCGCTGTTGCTCAGTCCGGACTGTGCTGTGTGTCTG